TACAAATATAATTTTCTAAATCATTAAAAAATTTTTTATTAAATAAACTTAATAAATTTAATACATATAAGAAAACAATTACTCACATTGACTTAAAAAACCCTGAAAATCCTTATTCCTTCGCTTCACTTCCCCTAGCACTTTGACTTCTCTATCGACCTATAATTTAAAGGCTTGATAAATTAAAATCACTTGATATAAAATTAATACCACCTTTACTTCAACTAATCTATATATAACTCATAAAATTTATAAATCTTTACCTTGCTCTTCTTTGAAAACCTTGATTTCACCTCTTTCTCAATTCCCGAAAATTCATCAAGCCTTTGTTTCCTAATTCAATTAAACCACTATTAATACTTAATAACACACACACACACACACCATATAATATTTGGATAATTTGTTTAATTTAACTATAATGATTTACCTTATAAGTTGTTCGGATTGATCCTCCATCACAAAGGAAATTTCAAGATATATATGTTGGCTTTGAGTTGATGGATCCGGACCTTCATCAAGTGATAAAAGCAAATGATGATCTTACGCCACAACACACACACACACACAAGCCATAATTTAGTTTCATAAAGTTCAAATGCATTGCAATATGAATCAGTAGTTAGAGCACAAAAGGGCCATAATTTACTATGTTCAAACCTGAATGTATATACTTCAGTGCTCGAAGAAGCTGATATAAGAAGAACTGGTAATGTTGTGGTTTAACTACTGATGCCGAAGACCGCCACCCATCATCTGCCGCTAATTGGACGCTGACAAACTAAATTTATTATATGTGTTGAACTGTCTTGGCGCAATATTCGTAATTTTTCCTCTTCATTTATTTAATGTTATTAGTTGATACGCTTACATTGGTCAATTTTTTCCTCCAATATAGATCGGGATGAAATCATCGATTACCGTCAACTCTCCATCGAAGCATGCTAGTAAACGAGACATCTTGCTGCTCATATTGTTACAGAAACCGTAATATTATATTTGACTTTAGAACCTGTTTCAACTAAATTTAATAATAAAATGCACTCTTTATTTAAAAATGAAAAACTAACTACGCAATCAGTGGCGTGAAATTTCATTAACTTCAACAAATGCGCAATACAAAATTGGGAAAAATTACATACATAACACCCAATTCTTATGGATTTACCTGTCTCACACCTAATCTTTCATGTTTACACACATAGCACTTTATCTATGGATGAAAATATGGATTTGACTCATAAAAAGTGACGGTGAGCGCTACTTTTCATATTATATTTGTAATTATGAAAGTTTAGGTGTGAGATAGGTAAATATGAAAGTTTTAGGTGCAATCTATGTAAAAGCCCTGCACTTTCTTAAGAAAGTGCTATAATTTGAATATATTAAAAAGATTCGCAGTTAGCTACTTAGTTTTCTTAAGATGTTCTTAAGATGTTCTCTGAAAACCTCGTGCACAATTTAAAAGTTATTAGTCTCACACAGGTGTTTCCAACCTCATCAGTGGAGTAATAATCACTGTTTTCTAACATGTGATTATATGTCCCCTGATGAAGTTGGGTAATACTTTCATATAATATGTTAGATTTTGAGAATTGTGAATGATATATTCAAATAATAAAATTTTAAAAATAAGAAGATAAACGATTAAGTATATGGTAGCTAATCACCGCCCCTCTCCCCCCAATATCACTGTTATCATTGTCGTCGTTGCTTTTAAACGTTTCTCCGCTCGATACGATTTTGATGTGACACTCAATAAGTTCATCTAATTATTGTTCAATGTGGCTCATTAGATCCGTCAAGAAGTCCATCCGTCGACCAACCGCAACAACCTTATTTTGCAAGACTTGGATCATGTAATAAAGGAGGTGAGGGGGACAGAATACGGAAGGTGAATCAAGGGATACAACTTCAGGGGAGCACGGCCTCCTATATCTTTTAACATGAACACTAAAAACATGATGATCATTATAAATCGGTCTTATCAGCCTCGCACGCTGACGCTGACGAGGAGTCATTTGTATGGAGAGTAGGGAGAGAGTGGGTGAGAAGCTGTTGCAGTTAGAGATAGATAAAGAGGGATTCGGGACAAAAAAAATGTGAGGTAGCCGTGAGAGAGTAAGGAGATGCAATGAGAAAAAGGTAAAACACAAGAAAGCTTGCATTTAACGTGAAACACAAGCCGAGCTTTAGAGTCTGTTTGAATCAGCTTGTGCGTTTCAGAATAAACAACTTATCCTAAAACACGACCCGCAGGTCGACCGCGAGGGTCGACCTGCGACCTGCGACCTGCTTTTAGTGTAAAAAACTCAAACACGTCAAACAACACTTTTAAAAACGCGCAAACCAAACAGTTAGACATTGTTTTTAAAAACGCCGCCGCACTTATAAGCTGCCCCAGATGGCCCCTTAAAAGCAAAAGGTTCATACGTTTTTGCTGATACTAATTAACTTTTTGGCTAGCTTCTAATACACATTTAGGTTACATTTAAGCTCCGATTAAAAATTTTTCTTTGAAAAATATAAATAAAAATTTAATATATATATATTTATTTATTTTGAAGTTATTTGGTTTACCAATAAAAGTTAATATAAAGTAAAATGATTGCATGCTTTTTAAAAAAAAAGAGAAGTTTGTTTCGAATTTAAATGAAATGTAATGTAAAATTTTGAAATATTTCAAAATATGATAGGTATTTTCAATATATTTGAAACTCGCTAAAAAACGCCTAAATTCAGTGGATTTAGGGTCATTTGGGGGGCACTACAATGATGTTGCGCCACAACATCACAGTTTTGACTGTTTAGATAAACTACATTTTGATAGTTTTTTTAAAAGGTTGCCCGACGAAATCTATATTTTCCCACCAATTCTGGCTAAGTGTTATGACGACTTTTAACTTTTTAAACATCAAACTATTTTTCAATAGTTTCAGAGGTGTTTTCCAATGATAGCTGCTCCTAACAGGCCGTTAAAGTATACCGCAATAGAAACGATTTACCTCATGCCACTACCTTTATTACCGGCCAGCCCGGTGACATCCCCCCCATCACCTCCGCCATGGTCACTCTTATTGTGCTGGCCACTACGGTTTACATTGACATCAGTTAACTTATTAAATAAAATACAAGAAAATGAGCTACCGCATCTACCTAGCAACCAACTTAACAACTCCACATATTTGAAAAAACACAGCAGTTTATGTTGTATTACCTTTTACTTAAAATTTTTTTTGGCCAATTACATACAAACCACCCTAAACTTTGCTATTTACATATCAACCACTAACTTTCATCAAATTTTCAAATTCTTACTCAAATATAAAAATTTATTTTTCATTTTATCAAATTCTCAATAGTTTGATCGTGACACATATAAATACATCAGCTAAATGTTAATGTTTCGGATGATTTGTATGCAACTTTTTTTTTTCGGATTTTACATATCAATCATCCAAAACTTTAAATATAAATTATTGGCCACTCTAATTTAAAATATTATATTTAAACCACCTAAAAATCACCTAAAACTTTAAGGGTCTGTTTGGGGAAGCTGTAGCTTATTGAATAATCTGCTGATAAACTAGTTGTAATGACTATTATAAATTTTTTTTTTTTTGAAAAGCCAGACTGCTATCAGAAAGCTGCCACTGAACCTATATCGGTGAGTTCTAAAAACACTGCTTTCAACGTTCTCAAAACACATAAACTGCCAAAATGCAGTTTACCCAAACAAGATAAGTGCGTTTTCAAAACGCCACTACATTAAATAAGCCGCCCCAAACATACCCTAAATATAATGAAGTAATACTCTTGTTTCAAAGGAAAATAAAGTTTAAGTGGTTGAAATGTAAATATTGAATTTAAGTGATCAAAATATTATATTTAAAAATTTGAATGACTAATATGTAAAAGCCACTCTTCTTCAAACAACTGTAGCTAGCTGTCTAAAATAAACCCTCATATATATATACTTATCCCTATATATATATATATATATATATATATATATATAATAGTTTATTTATAATTTATAATTGTAATGAATTTTTTTGATTTATAATTATATATATGAAATTTAATTATGTATTAATACATTAATTAATAATTAATTAATTAATTAGCTTAATTTATCAAATTATAAATTTAATTATTTTAAACAATTATGAAATAGTTTTACATAATATTTAGATATTTAAAATAAATAGATAATTAATTATTTAGATGGGAAAAAAAATCATAAAAATACTTTCAAGTGATCTAACTAACTATTCTAAGCAAGCTGTGTTTCAACTTTTTATGGCTATACTTTTCTGGCAATCTTACATCCTTTAAATTATTGTTGTTTCTGCTAAAATGTACAACAATTTGATAGGAATTAAAATGAAGATCCTAAGTTATTGAGTTCACGCGTTCTCATTACTATCATTCGAGCAAATTGATCTAAAATCTTGATGATGAATTATGTGCTATGCAGTGTAAGCGCTCGAACTTGGTACGCTGGGATCTTCTTTTTAATTCAGATCAATTTGCTATACATTTGAGCATAAATAACAATAATTCTAAAGAATGTAAAACAATCAGAAAAATATAGTCATAAAACAATTAGTTAGATCACTTGAAAGTATTTTTATGATTTTTTTCTCCCATCTAATTAATTAATTAATTATATAAATATTATGTAATATTTTTTCATAATTGTATAAAATAATAAAATTTATAATTTGATAAATTCAGCTAATTAATACATGAGTTAATCAATTAATTATTAATTAAACTGTTAATACTCAATTAAAATTCAATATATCTCATTATAAATATTCTGTAATTTAATTATAAATCAATAAAAATAATAAAACTATAAATTAAAATTAATATATATATATATATATGTTAATTTTTAATTGAGAAAATAAAAAGTGCCCCCAATGGGGTGTTTTTATTTTTTTCAATTAATAGTTAATTAATAAAAACGGCCAACCACTGCATCACTTTCTTTCTCGTTCCAAGCTGATTATTTTTCTTCCTTAGACTGCAATTCCTCCATTTCTACAGTATTTTTTCTTTGAATAGTCGATGATCGTAACCCTCTCTCTGATCTACTCCAAAGCTTGCTAATTTGCGAGATAAGTAGACATAAACAAGGGCAATGCCCCGCCGCAGCAGAACTTAGCGGCGGTAATCACGTTCTTTATATGGGCTCCGGTAATCTCGTCGGCGGCTTACGCCGCTGGTTTAATCGCCGCTCGGCTAGCAGCTCCGCTTCCTCCTCGTCTGCCGCTCTAACCAATGACCTAATCCCGCCGTTGGGAACGACAGTTGAGGAAACAGACCGGGACGCCTCCTTCAACGACTCCGATGACTTCGATCTCACTGCCCTCCGATTGATCCGCGTCCCAAAGCGCATATTGACCCCCATCGATTCCAATAAAAAGGTATCTCTCTCTATTTTCTTGGTGCCACGATCATTAACCATTCGTACTGTCGGTACTGCCATTTTGGTCGATCTGCTGTTTGATGCTCTCGAGATTGTGACTTTTGTTGGTTCTTTGTCATGGCTAGGTGAATTTTGTTGTTCTTGCACACTGGATTTCTTGAAAAAGCCAGAAGTAAATTGCAATCACATGTTAAGGGAACCACGAGGCGTTTTTTTTACCCTTATTTAATTCTATTGATCGCTCATATTTGTGATCTTTCAGACAGGTGACTAATATTTTGGTTTTGTTCTTCTGAGATAATCCAGAGCACGCTTGATTCTGAATTCTTCACCGAATATGGCGAAGCTAGCAGATATCAAATTCAAGAGGTCATCGGGAAGGGAAGCTATGGGGTGGTTGGTTCTGCGATCGACACGCACACGGGAGAGAGGGTGGCAATTAAAAAGATTAATGATGTCTTCGAACATGTCTCGGATGCGACGCGGATTCTGAGAGAGATTAAGTTGTTGAGACTGCTTGAGCATCCTGATATTGTTGAAATAAAGCACATAATGCTTCCTCCATCACGAAGGGAATTTCGAGATATATATGTTGTCTTTGAGTTGATGGAATCGGACCTTCATCAAGTGATAAAAGCAAATGATGATCTTACGCCACAACATTACCAGTTTTTCTTATATCAGCTTCTTCGAGCACTGAAGTATATACATTCAGGTTTGAAAATAGTAAATTATGGCCCTTTTGTGCCCTAACTACCAATTCATATTGCAATGCATTTGAACTTTATAAAACTAAATTATGGCTTGTTATTTAAATGTGACTTTTCGTAGCTAATGTGTTTCATCGGGACTTGAAGCCTAAAAATATACTTGCTAATGCTGACTGCAAATTGAAAATTTGCGACTTCGGGCTTGCTCGTGCATCATTCAATGATACTCCTTCAACTATCTTTTGGACTGTATGTAACTCATTTGGATCTCAAATTACTTCTGTCCTTTTACTCTTACTGTGGCTGTTGGCCGAGCTGGATATCTGTTATGTTTCTTGTACTCATTAATGTCTCTTCTGTGGTGGAGATATTTGCCAGCATAGAAGGCATTTCACCTTTCATTCTTAAGTGGAGAGATTCAAATCTCCTCATAAAATACAAGATATTTGCAGTTTCTTCGCTTGGTCACTTTATTTATTTTTCTTTTTATTCTTCTTCCTTAATCTAGGATTATGTGGCAACTAGGTGGTACCGAGCTCCTGAATTATGTGGTTCTTTCTTCTCCAAAGTAAGACTCTCAGTTACTTATGACTTGTTTCCAAAATTACGAATTGTATTCTATTGCTCTATTGAAACATTTTGTCCATTCAAAACCTTCTGTGAAAAAGTTCATAGTTAAGTGTTTCAATCATATCCATGCTAAAGTGTGGTTAATTAATTTCACATATGTTGCATTTTTTGTCGGCATCAAAATAGGTCCTAGATGTTTTTGTTTTGGAAAATTTACATGCATACCACACGATTCTTACATGTTTACATTTCTAACAATTGAAGTTTGATATTTATGTTTATGACATTTTGGTGTTATAAACCTATACAAGAAATGCGTATGTCACTTTTATAAAGTTACGAAGAGTGCTATTTTTTATGTGATGTTAAAGATTTGAGTGTTATGCATATAGAAAAATATTAGATTTATTAGCCTAATTATTAGGCTAATTACTGTTGGTGCTATTAGTAGTCTTTATTTGCTTCCTTTTTTCTCGTTTCTTTATTCATGTATTTCCTTCTTAGTCTATTTCTGACTTTATACCTTTTCTTTTATTTAGGACTTGTAATATGTATTTATACCCTCCTTTTTATCAATAAAATTATCCTGCTCTTTTTTCAAACCTAACATTGTATCAGAGTCAAGTATCTCTTTTTCCTGCGTTCCTTTTTCTCTAGTGATTCTCGTCCAGCTGCCTTAAATCTCGACTCCCGTGAGATCTCCAGTTGCCGTAAAATCTCTTCCGCAATATCTCCATCAATTCTGCTGTAAATTCTGTCTACCGTGAACCTGTCTGTCGTGAATCCATCTCCCGTGAAATTTGTCTCCATGCCAGCTGTCTCCTGTGAAATCTATCTCCTTGGTAATATGCAAGGAAAAATATCAATGTAAATGATGTTGCTTCTTGGTTCATTTCTTCTGGTCAGGCAAACTATAGTGCTGCAAAAGTAGGGGTCATTGGTTTAACCAAATCTGTGCTCTGTGCTCGTGTGCTCTGCAGCGGTGATGCAGGGCCAAAGGAAGAAGGGGGAGGAAAAGCTTTTTGCGGTTGAGCTCCTGTGGACTAGGGCAGATGTCGAAGTTTATATTAGTTATGTTTAATATTTTTATTAGTTAATTAATATGTTAGTATATAGGTAAAGTTTATGTGTGTGTGTGTGTGTGTGTGTGTTTGTGAGGGTGTTTAATTATAATTTTAATGGAAATTTTATTAAAATAAGGACTAATAATTAGTTAGAAGAGTGTGTGAGTTAAGGGAAGGGCGATTCGAACAACTTATAAGGTAAATCTTCATAGTTAAATTAAACAAAATATCCAAATATTATATATATATGTGTGTGTGTGTGCGTGTTATTAAGTATTAATAGTGGTTTAATTGAATTAGGAAAGAAAGGCTTGATAAATTTTTGGGAATTGAGAACGAGGTGAAATCAAGGTTTTCAAAGAAGAGCAACGTAAAAATTTATAAATTTTATGAGTTATATATAGATTAGTTGAAGTAAAGGTGGTATTAATTTTATATCAAGTGATTTTAATTTATCAAGCCTTTAAATTATAGGTCGATAGAGAAGTCAAAGTGCTAGGAGAAGTGAAGTGAAGGAATAAGCATTTTAGAGGTTTTTTAATTTAAGGTGAGTACTTATTTTTTTATAGGTATTAAATTTAAAGTTTATTTAATAAAGAATTTTTTTAATGTTTTAGACAATTATATTTTTATGCATGTTGTAGCTTAAGAATGAAGGAAAATAAAAGGAGAAAGGGAAAATAATGATTAATATATTTAAAAAATATAATTTAAATGAAATGAATGAAAGTTAAATGTTTAAGTCATACAATATTACTCCCAGATGGTGCTGGCAGGGGATGCAATATACCCATGCATGTTAAAAGAAATAATAAATATGCATCTTCGGGTACAATTTGAGGGTAAATTCAAGTATAATTTTTAGGATGTTTTCAGACACATTTTGAGGATGGATTCAGGCATATTTTTTAGAATACCTTCGGATATGACGATAATCCTGTGATAATTATTAAAAAGGTTAAATTGGTAAATACTTAATATGAAATGAGAAAGAAAATTTTAAAAGTTTTAATGAAATGAATTGTATTTTTTGTTTGTCATCTATGCATAGCATATCATAAAAAATTTAATGCATATTAGATTATAATTACTCACGAAGTTGTACTTACAGCTGCAATTAATGTGGAGAAAAAAAGTTTTAGATGTTATGTCTAGTAGAAAAGATTTGATTTATTGGAGGGAGACCACTACTACTGATAGGGTATTAGTTTAGGATATGACGTTAGTTTCTTTTATTGTTTGCTTCTGTATTTAGTCACTTTATGTGTTGGTCTAAGATATTTTTTGATTTTGATGTTTCTGGATAGTTAAATTTTTATTTCACTTTGTGAATTAGTGACTCTTTTACATATATTGAAAGTTTTTTATTTTTTTTAAAAAAATGAAATGTTAATTTTGTCCGGTGGCAGTTCCCGCCTTAGTTAATTCTAAGCACTGACGTTTGATCATGATCTAAAAAAGCTATTAGAATGATTATGTTGACATTAATTTATTATCTTACAAGTGTGGAGTGTCCACATGCATGACTCGAGATAGTCGATGGTTTGTTTGTAGCATCTCGTAGCTCAAGACACCCCACCCGGGACTCTCTAGCATTTGCACAGGGCACAGAGTTAGAATTATGGTGATTTAGCCTCATCCGGGAAAACCTGCCATTTTAAGGGTTTATTCAAGACACGAGACATGCTCGATGCTTATTCTGGTGTTTAGAAGTCATCACATGTCCTTCTGGAGCCTCTCGTGGCCAAGGGAAACAATGAGGTCCTCTTACGCTCTCTACAAGAAAGTTAGGGTTCAAGACGCCTTACCTATGCCGTGGCTGAGGGCGACCGTTGGCGACGTTTTTTTGGCAAATGACCGATCAAAATACTCAATTCTAAAGTTATGAGACCACATTTCACTCATATAGAGTCGCTTGTAGGTTATTGAGAGAGAAAATCCCCCGTCGAGCACTCACAATAAAAATTAGGGTTTTGGGGCTAGACCGGAGCATATGAGCCAATCTCGTGTGCCTGTGCACCCAAAATACCTTTCTGGATGTTTAAAATCAAGCCTTTGGAAGTCTGGCTCCAGAATGGGCGCCTGGATGTGTAAAAATTAGGGAAACATCAAAAAGTGGTTTTTTCCCAAGGGTTGGGAAAGTAGGCGCTAGGATGTGGCGCTTAGGAGCAGTCCCTTTCCAGGTCACAAAAAGACTGTTTTTGGCACCTGATTTGACCCTTGAGGCAACATAACTTGCAAGTGTGTAATCATGAGCCTTGGGGATGGAAAAGAGGGTAGATAATAACTCTTTTAACCCTCCTTTAGAAGCTTCCTAAGGGTTCTAGTGAGGTCATTTTGGCACTTGGAGAGGGTGAGTTGAGCTTAACCTAGGGAAGCCTCACCCTCCAAAGGGAACCATCAGTCTGATTTCCATTGGTGGGCTGAAGGAGAGATTGAAGAGCTTTTGGGTAGAGCTTGAAGAGCATTTGGAGAGAGCTTGCAGGTCCATTGAAGAGGCTTCTTAGGAGAGCAAGAGATGGAGATCTTCATCGTCCTCAAGAGGAGAAAGTTAAGGGAGTTTATATCCCTCATTCTTTTCCCCTTTTCCAACTTTTCTTCCTCATCTCCTTCATCTTCCTCCACCACAAGTCCTGAGTGTGTGAGAGCATCATCCTAGCTCGGAGAAGCATTGTCGGAGCACAGCCGGAACGTGGGCTTCTCTTCTAATGTTAGGAGAGCTTCATCCGGAACACGAACGTGGGACTTAGATCAATCATCACGATGGTATAATATCCTTAGTACTTGCATTTTCCTTCTTAGCTAGCCCTAAGAATAATTTAGGATAGGCGTTGTAGGTCTGATCGCCCACACAGGCCGACCAATGGTAGTCGGCGCGACCACAACCCTTTGGAGTGGCAGTTGATTTCATAAAGGAAGCTATCGGTTAGGAATCCCATGCGTGGCCAAATTTTATCGGAGTAGAGCGATCTCTTTCTGTGAACCTTATACCTAAATCCTAGCAGTTGGAAACCCGATTTTCCCCTTGCATTTGTTTTCCCTAACTTTTCTTGAAGGGGTTGAGATGTTTGGATTTTGCAATGTGAGAAGAACTTTGTAGCTAGCCCACTTTGCATAATCATGACGAGTTATGAGATGGGAAAAGCTTTATAGCTAGTCAATTTCACAATATCGTAGAGTTTCTCTTTTGGAGACTTAGAGGTGAGACTCTCCACACACCTCGCCAAAGCAGGAGGCGGATAAGCTGCATATCTAAGTGAGGACGTTAGCTCGAGTATGACTTGTCATCGATCGCGATCACTTGCATCAGGTTGGGTTTGTATTACATCCCGCACTTACCTGTTGCATCACACTTTGGTTAGACCGCCCGCCCCGAATTTTACTGGGATGTCACGAAAGTTACAATTTAGGCTCTCTAGGACCTTAAAATTGTAAATTTATATATATTAGAATCATAATAAAAGATTCAAGATAAATTAAAATTTAGGATTAAAAGATTCAGAATTTTTAAAATTCATCTTTTACTTTTCTGCATGGCTTTCGGATTGGGTTTAAAACGGGCTACATTGCATGGACATAACCCAAGTCATATAATAGGACATCCACAATATCTAAGGACCACTCTTGAATTTTTAAAATTTGTCTTTTATTTTTCTACATGGCTTTCAGGTCAGGTTTAAAATGGGCTTCAACGCATGGGCATAACCCAAGTCATATAATAGGGCATTCACAATATCTAAGGACCACTCTAGATGATTGCATCATTTGCATATTCCGAGAAGTCCTTGTGATTTTCTATTCCAACCAGCTCAACTTAACTTTCTATGTAGGAGGTTGTCTAACACGCTTAGGTTATTGGAAAGTTCCTCGACTCAGACGAGGTGTAAGTCATTTTGTTGGGAGCTTTTTCAACTTTATAGCTGAATATCTCTCT